AAAAAAAAAAAAAAAAAAAAAAAAAAAAAAAAAAAAACCACCCCCAGCCACTCCCTCCCGGGGCAATCCATTTATCAAACATCTAACAAGCAGATACAAGTGCCTCAACCCTACTCCTATAGCAGCTATTTAGACAAAGATTTTCACAAATATAACCGTTTCCCATTTCTCTCCCAAGACAATTGAATCATGCAGCAAGACAAAATAAACAAAACATTCAGCCGCAAGATGATTCAATTCCAATCAATATGCTACCAAGACCACAATTATCATGGCTAAGATTAAAAACTCGCGATCCTACCCCAATCCAGCACGGGCAAATTGTTGTGAAATAGCAGGGATAGAAATTTATGAAAGAAATTTGAGACTTACAGTGTTGCCACCAATTCAAAACGCGTTGGGTTGAACTTGAACATGCGAAAATTTGTTAACGGGTAAGAAATACTGAGTGAACAACTTCTTCGTGTCTCTATTAGAAATAAAATTAAAACTAAGTAATAAAAAAATGATTTTAATTATGATAAATGTGAAGGCTATTGGAAAATTCAACGAATTTAGTTGGAAAAAAAAATGTGAAGTCACAATTTTTTATTTGTGTTCACACATCATTACCTCAATTAACCTCGTTTAGAACTTACAACCCAGAAAGATACTCATGCATATAGATTATTTGTATATGTAGGATGCAGATTCTATTAAAATACAAATAAATAAATAAAAAACTATTATGTTGCTTGTATATTTATTTCTTTCAAAATACAAAATTTTAAGGAAATTTGGAGCAACAAATAAAAAGGTTAAACAAGAGTGTATTAAAAGCATAAGTATATAAGAGTTGAAATAATACAAAGACCTCGTTCGAACCGGAAAAGTAGCGGAGCTAGTCGGTGGTGGCACGCCGGAGTATTTTGGAGGAAGAAGGTTGTTTTTTTTTTCTTCCGAAGAGGGTTTATGAGAACCGAACCCTCATGTATTCGTTAAGGCTAGGTTAGATGTATAATTAAATTTCATAAATTGGTTTATTGTAAAAATAAATTAATTAATTTTATATCAATATATATTATAAAAAAAAATTAAGCAAACAAACTCTTTATCAGAAAGAATGTTGGTCTAGTGATTTTTTTTAGCTCTTAAAATCTTTTTCGCTATCATGATATTGATAAGATATATTATGAAAACATAATATAAATTCGATGATATAATAAGAGTAAGATAACCTTTAATTATGTCTGATATTTGATGCATATGGAGATAATAAATCAGATGATATTATGGTTAAAATATTTTTTCAATTTTTATATTTACTTTATTTTTTGGTTTTTATTATTTAGAATAAATCTTTTTAATTTTATATATTTATCTTTTTCAATTTTTTTAGTCTTTTTATAATTTAAGATAAATTTTTTTAGATTCTATAATTATCTTTAAGTTCATGTGGTTATTTTTTTTTTTTGTGTTGACATGACTAAGATAGTAATTTAACTTTATCACATCAATACAAAATAGAAATTACAAGAAAAAAAATTTAATAATAAAGACTAAAATTTAAAAATATAGAAATTAAAAAGATTTATTTAAAATTATAAAAATAAAAATGGTTGAAAAAATAAATATAAAAATTAAAAACATCAATTTTAAACTTATAATAGAATGAAATAAATATTCCCTTCTATCATTTGGCTAAAGAATGAAATGATGTAGATTATCTTGATTTTAACTTTTCTTTTCTTTTCTTGATTTGGAAGAAGATGTTAGGTCAAAAGACTATCTTAGATCCCCTGATTTTAATGTTTTGTTGTTAATAAATAAAGAGGTTTTATATCAATAGAAATTTTTTTGAAATGACTAAAACAAATCTTATGATATAAAACTTCTTCATAAGATGCAAGTTTTTAGTAAGACAAGTTCTCGTAATAAGACGATCTTGTTACTTTTGCTAACTTAGATGAAGCTTTATTTATAGAGAAATCTACATTTAATCTTTATTATTTATGATCTCTAAAAAAGAAGTGACTATGTATGAATGTTTCCTTAACAAATCGAAAAATGTTTCTTTGGTACTTACATTTCACGAAATGAAGAATATTTCCTTCTATCATTTGGATAAAAAATGGAATGATGTAGATTATCTTGATTTAAAAATTTTCTTTTCTTGATTTGGAAGATGTCAGGTCAAAAGACTATTTTGGATATTAGGTCAAAAGATTGCCTTAGATCCCTCTAATTTTAATGTGTTGTTGTTAATAAATAAAGATATTTTTGATCAACATAAAAGTTCTTGAAATGACTAAAACAAATCTTATGATAAGATAAACTTCTCATTAAGACGCATGTTTTCAATAAGACAAATTCTTGTAATAAGATAAAAACTATATTAAGATGATCTTGTTATTTTTACTAACTCAAATGAAGCTTTACCTATAATTTAATCTTTATCATTTATGATCTCTGAAAATGAAAGTAGTTATGTATGAATGTTTCCTTAAGAGATCGAATTCAAAAAATGTTTCCTCGGTACTTACATTTCATGAAAAAGGAGGAAAGCTATATTTTGCATTAGAAAAGGACAAACAAGTCCTTATAAATACGAAAAGATGCAATTATTGTTGTTTCAACACTATGCCAATCTAATACACACATGGTTTAGGTATTTAAAAAGTGATAAGTAACTTCTTTCATCAAATAAAAAGTGACAATTTGATGAAAATATTTAATTCAAACATTTATTACACTAATGCACACTTCTTTCCTCAAGAAGCAACATGAATACAAATGAAACAAACCATGAGAGATAAACTCAATGATTTGCAACAGTCATCTGCTTTGAAGCACCTATACAAGGAAGCTCACTAATTTAGATAAACATAAGACAATCAAGACAAAAAGACAAAAAAGTGCACATACGAAGAAAAATACTTCTTCAATCTTTTTGTAAATAACTTTTTACTTAAGCAACTTTGTAAATTTCTATAACTTTGAGTTATTGGGTTTGAGCTTGTAGAGATTTATTTGTAAAAGAATATTTGGTATTTGAAACTTAGATAGACTTTGTGTAAAAAAAATACTTAGGTAATTACTTAAAGAGACAAGCAAAAAACAACTAGGATTAAGTCAGAAGTGGTTTGGTAAAGAATACTTGAATCTTTGATAAAATAGTTGAACTTGATCTAATTAAATCAAGAACTAGACGTAATCTCAATAATTGAAACGAATGAATATAAAGAAGAAAAAGGAGGAGGAGGAGGAAGAGGAGAAGGACCCTAATGAACATTTTTTTTTACCAACATTTGACATACAAAATAAGTTGTTTTTTTTTGTCTAAAATTTTAGAGTCCAATCTAATATTATTTTTTGGAATTTTCTGGCCAGACCCATATTTACATCTCAAGGCTTATTCTTATGTATAGTTATATGATTTTTATACTTTTGTATTTTTTTTTTATGTTTGATAATAAAAGGAACATGATAGTAACACAAATTATACTATTAGTTAAAACTTATTCACAATTATAAAGTTAATAGAGAGAAACATTACTTAAGAAGTGAGACTTACAAAAAATAAATATAACTTTCAACAAATTTCAAATAATAATTGATAATGTATTAAAAAGAGTAAGTTAGATTATATTATTATCATTTCTCTTAAGGTTTATGGTAATGTACTGTCATTGTAAAAACTTTTATATTATCAATTATTTTTTAATAATCATAATATTATACGAAATATCTACTACCTATTATTAAAAGTAATGACTAATCTAAGGTGAAAACAATAAGTACACACAATGTATTAAGTGAATACTTTTTTATCGATATAATCTATTTCATATCTAAAACCAAAAGTGAAATATAAATCTATATTACAAAGATGAAATCCCAATTTTTATTGTTAAACAAGATCATTACCTATAATATTGTACTAAGTTTTGTTCATGTATAATTATGGATAATTTTCTCACTTTTTATGGAATAATTTGTGCTATTCAATAACAAAACATTGTCCAATTTGTTTTAATTTAAAAGATCGATTATAAAAAGGTTCTTTTAAAAAAATTAAAAACTAATTATTTTTAAATAAATAGTTCAGACGAACTTACTAAAAAAATTAATTAAAAAAAAAAAAAGTTAAACAAACAGACATGTTACTAAGCGAGGTCCTAATAGATTACATAAAAGCTTATTGATCACACAAAAGACTTTAATAAATCTCTCTAAAGAGTCTAGCTTGCCCAGAAGAGTTGTAATTCAATTTAAATTTCTAGTGAAGATGGCTGCAATTTGGAAATTACTTCTATCTTCCTTTGTCAATATTTAATAAATCAGAAAAGGAAAACAAGCACTCATAGTCCGTTATGCTAAAATAAAGTGGCAGAGTGAAAAATGAAAAATTTTCATTTTCTTCTGGTGTTCATTTACAATTAATCTAACATTACAATCATTACACATTTACACTTATTGAAGTTTACAAATTACAATCATTCTACTGGCAAGGTAATTTCAGAGTTGGAAGTTCTCAAAAGGTTGAAACTTTTTGTTAAAATTATTTTTTTAATTAACTGCATGATTGAGCCATTGACTAAAAACTTGACAGAAATCTCCATATGTATGATGAGAAAGGTTCACCACTTGATAACTGTACACACCAATAAAATTACACTAGATGAGGATATCGACTTCTCAGTATTTATTCAAATTCAGAATTTTTTCAGAATATTTGCTAGAGTACAAAAGTAGAGGTTTCCAATAAGTTGTTTAGCCACCACTTATTGGGGGTATTATGGCCAATTCATCCGTGTCTTTAACAATGGCTGACTCAGTTGTATACTCCTCATTCAGAGCCAAAACCATGCACCTTCTTATTTCTTCCAAACCTGGAAACTTGATAAAAAGCTTTTTCAAACAATCATGTGTAGTACTTCCGAATGACACCTCCAATGGCATCTCACTCAGGCCAGTGAGATCACGGGCTCTAGCGAAAAACAATACTTTTATCTTCACCAGAGAACTTTCTTTCTTGTTTTGAGTGTCATCTCCATTCAAAATCTTAATATCTCCTTCCATCATATCCCTTTTCTGCATAAAATAAGTAGTTAGATACAAACTACATATTGTACACTAAACATGTTTCTACAAACTGCAGAAAATTCAATCTGACAACATAAATAAATGTTTGCAATTTATTCACTGCTAAAACTAAATCAGTGGAAGCAATTCCATCCAAACTATCTCTGGCTGCTAAAAATATTCAAATGAAAATATGTTAATCGTCTAACTGGCATAATCTATATATATACAGTGAACACAAGAACATGCTTATTGAAGCAAATGTCATTGGCGAGTGTCACAATGAGTCACAATCACAGAGGCAACCAGAATTTTAAAAGTCAGAAGCTGCCACTAATTTCTATTTGAAATGGGAAAAGATTTTAAAAAATACATTTTTATTAAGAAATTGTCTTTAAAATAATATTAAATTTAGTGCTGGGAAAGATAGAAACTTATGGGCTAAAATGGTTACCGTATAGTTGGTGGTGCAAACATTTGATAACTCATTCAAAATCAAATTCATTCCATATAAAGCAAATAAATAAATAAATGATATGAGAAAAAGTACAACTGTTGTCCAGACTCCAGAAAATAATTTGCAGAACCTGAACCCACTTTCAAAGCTAACTAATATAAATTGGAATGGAATAAAGGGTGAGCCAGTGCACAAGGTTCCCATTAAGTGGGATCTCGAGAAGGTCAAATAAAGCAGCCTCACCCATACAAGTAGAGGCTATTTCCAGAATTTGAATCCACGACTTCAAGTTCTAGGTCACAAAGTAGCAACTTTATGGTTGTGTCGAGTTTCATCCCTTATGAAATGGAATAGAAAACACATCAACAGCTTATGCGTCATCACGCATTTCAACTCGGAGATCTCCTACAACATGGGTGAGCAGTTTAAGTAGCTAGGTCCTACCAAACCGACAACAAAGAACTTTTTTGGGCTTGTTAAGTAAACAACAAATTTGGATATCAATCCACAACACGATAACGATTTCTCAGACTTTGCCACTTCAACAATGAGGTATAGTACTATGTCATGATAGAACAGCTGGGTTTAGGCTTACCACGGCATTAGCTAGCTCAACTAAGCCATCTATGAAAAATTCCGTAGATAATATTTCGTAGATAAGTAAACATTATCTATGAAAAAAATTTCGTAGGTAATATTCCGTAAATAACTAAACATATTTACAGAAAAAATTTCGTAAGTAATATTCCTGTAACGAGCCGCCTGGCCGTCACACTGCAGAACAACACCACACAGAAGTAAAATATGCATATAAAGGAATGTATACATATATCTAGCCTAAGGCTCAACAAGTCAAAGTATATCTAATACTAACAAAATGTTATGCCAAGGTAGCCTACACAAAATCAGCTCCAGCCCTCCTCGGTGGCACTGCTACTACACTCCAGCCTATCCCTGCTCTGCTCCCATACACAGTATGATCATCGTAGTCCAAACCACATGGAAAACATGTAAGGGTAAGCTAGTGAAAATAATCAACATATAGATATCCATAAACAGCCTTCAACTTAACAACACCATCATCATTCTCAACAAGTTCAACATACAACACATAACAACACACAACTCAATCACAGCTTCACATTACAACAGCACATATACAACTCATATCAACATCAATTAAACACATCAACAGCTTATGCGTCATCACGCATTTCAACTCGGAGATCTCCTACAACATGGGTGAGCAGTTTAAGTAGCTAGGTCCTACCAAACCGACAACAAAGAACTTTTTTGGGCTTGTTAAGTAAACAACAAATTTGGATATCAATCCACAACACGATAACGATTTCTCAGACTTTGCCACTTCAACAATGAGGTATAGTACTATGTCATGATAGAACAGCTGGGTTTAGGCTTACCACGGCATTAGCTAGCTCAACTAAGCCATCTATGGGATTAGCCTACCGACTATCCTTCAAATACTACAACCCTCCGATACTCGATTAGGAACTAAGTTCCCGACTTCGTACTTTACTCAAACTGGCCGCTTGTAATTGGTATAGCTCGACCTGACCCCTATACCGTGGTCGCTTTGTACACGTGTGCTTCGACCTTGCCCACACACGGGACCAACTAAGTCCTAGAGGAGAACAACACAACGTCCACTCCAAGGGACAACTTCCCAAGGAGGGTTTTCAACAAATTGGGCTCTCTGAGCACCACAGCTTTCTCAATCCACACAATGAGATGAACAACTTTGAAAACATCACCCATAGTCCTAGTGATCAACAATTCATCATCACAACTTAATCAGCTTACAACTCAACAGTACAGCTCAGTTCAACAACTTAAACAGCATGATCAACTCAACAGCTTAACGACTCAACTCATAATCTACAACTCAATCATTATAAAATAATATATTTCAACACATAGTGCAACATACAAATTTCATCACACAGCTACATCTTCTCATCATATCACAAAATTCAACATTTTTTGAGTCATAGAATCAAACACATTCACGCTCGGCACGAGTAAACTCACGCCTGGCCTGAACCCAACCCGAGAGCTCTAAAGCTCTTCCACGCCCAGCGTATCATTAGCTAGCTCAACTAAGCCATCTATGGGATTAGCCTACCGACTATCCTTCAAATACTACAACCCTCCGATACTCGATTAGGAACTAAGTTCCCGACTTCGTACTAATAATTTTTAAATATTTTTATAAAATAAAATAAAATAAAAAAAATATAAAATATCTCGACCCATTATTATAATATAAAAAAGTTTAAACAAAGACTTGTTCGTCTAGTTTTTTTTTTATAGCTCTTAAAAGACACTTGTGGTAGGCATATAAGAGTTTGGTAGAAATAAGAGGATATAATAAGAATAAGATAAATTTTAATGATGTAAGTTTCACATATATTATCATAATTAATCAGATAATATTATAGTTAAAATACTTTTTTATTTCACATATTTTATTTTTTTTAATGTTTGTAGTTTAAAATAAATATTTTTAGTTTTTGAACTTATTTTTTTCGTTTAAATATATTTTTAGTCCTTTAAATTTAGGATAAATTTATTTTTAGTCCTTCAAATATAAAATTATTGTTCTTAGTCATTGTAATTTTAAAAAAGTTTGTTTTAGTCCCTTAAGTCATCAATACTACATATGAAAGCAATAAATCGAGACAATTATATAATATCAGTTGGATTTAATGTAATATTTTTAGTAATAAGCATACTAATAGGTAAATTTTATGCGATAATATTTGACAAATTTTCTAACAAAATTTGAATATAAAAAATAAAATAATATTGTTTGAAATTATAAAGAGTAAAAACAAATTTATCTCAATTTTAAAATATTAAAAACATATTTAAGTCTTTTTTTAATTCCTATAATTTAAGGTATATCTTTTTAGTTCCTATATTTGTAGTATTCAACATTACCATGCCAGCATAAAAGAACATAAAACAAAAAAGTTACAAAAAAATTAACGATAGGGATTAAAATGATTAAAAGTAAGTATAGGATTAAAAAATCTATATTAAACTAAAAGAATTAAAAATGATTGAAAAAGATAAATATAGAGACTTAAAAAAGACTATTTTAAATTATAGGGTCTAAAAGATAAAGTAAGTGAAACTATAGGGACTAAAAAAGTATTTTAACCTAATATTATATATATATATATATATATGTTATGATATTATATAAATTACATTTAAGTAATAAAATTTTTGTTTTATTAAAATTACATATAATTTTTTAAAATTTTAAATTAAAAGTGTAACCTTGTGTTTAATTTTATTAATTAATTATATGATTAATTATAATTGTTGTTGTTTTAGAGCCCTAAAAGTCAAGGATCTTAAAGAGTTAAGTTGTCTCTGTAATAGTTTTGGTTAGAGTTAGTTGGGTCACTTTAAGAAATGATATATGTGATTTTTCTTAAGAAGTGAACTTCAAAACTTTAGTTTTAAAGAAAAGTAGAAAGAAATTAGAGAGAGGGGTTTTGGAGCCAGTGACGTTCGTTCATTCTTTTGCTTCTGGTGATCCTTTCTAATCCCTTCCCTTAGCTAGACAACGATAGTAGATCGTCGAATTTGAAGCTTGGAGGCCAAAATTTTTTAAGTTGTGAGCTATGTGGTGCCTTTTCTATTCTTCTTCCATATTTTCTTTTCTTCCTCTGCTTGTTTTCGAATGATTTGAGGTAAGGAAAGTTTGTGATCGATGAATTATTGTGTTGTATTACTTGTAAGTTGATTGAATGCATCGAATGTTAATTATTTTGATTCAATTCATAAGGACCTTTTTGACTTAGTCACACTAGGTGTGGAGTGATAAGCGTCAAGCATGAGTACTTGAAGAACTTTCTAATTTGGTGACACTAGGCCCCAAAATGAATGACACCAGGTGTGATCAAGACAAAGACTCTCTATCTAGATGATATCAGGCACCAGTATTGTGATGTCGGGCATGAGTCAAGCAGAGACTTTTTGCCTAAAATGAGGTCAGACGTGGGTTTGGCTATGCCAAATGTGATTGACTTAAAGACTCTCTATCTCATTCATGCAGGATGTAGGTGGATTGGCATTGAGTGTGGACGAGCCCAAGACTTTCTACCTCAATGATGCCCAATGCAAGAAAGATGGCGTTGGGCGTGGTATGTTGAAATAAAATGTGATGTTTTAAGTTGTTTAACTTAGGGATGAGCACCAACCCAAGACCCGACCCGAAATTGAAAAATCTGAAAGAAAAAAAAGGGTAAAATGGGTGGGTTCAAGCGGATTACCAGTTTAGACAAGTTAAAAAATGGTTTAAAATGGTTAACTTCGGCCAAACTCAATTCAAGTTTTTGCACCATCGGTACCCAAACCTAACCATCCAAACAAAATAAAGGCCAAGTAATTATCATTCAAGTCCAAAAACTAAGCTTATTTTGGCTCATCTTTAATCTTTATTGTTGATGTACAAAAAAACTCTAGTTGAGTCTGGTTGAGACTTGAGAGTGTAGTTTGTAACTTCGTTTTTTGTATCATATAGCTAAAACAATTATTATAATATTTAAATTATTTGAAACTTGAATAAGTTTATTCATTTTATGTTTAAATGAACTAAATAATATTTGAATAACTGAATGTATAAAAAATGATACCAGAATTGAAAAGAAAAAGATAAAAAATTGGATAAAAAATTTATTGGTCCAATTAAATGATTTAAAGCCTAATACATCTTTACCCATAAAAAACTGTCAGTTAAAATTGAGACTTTCCTAAACCAATAAGCCATTTGGTTGGGTTCGAGTCTAAATAATGCAACCCGTGGGTTATATTGGTTTGGACTATATCGTCCCAAAACCAACCATACCTGATCGTTGATCACCCTTAGCTTAACTGTTGAAGTATGATGATTCATTTATATAAATGATGATGTATGATCATAGTTTATTATGCATTGAGCTAAGATGATGTATGATGATATTTCAAGTTGTTAAAGTTGTAAGTCGATAATTGATTGAATGTTGAGTAAGCTTTTAAGTTGTATAGACATGTAGTGTTGAGATACATAACATCTAATTGAGAGTAACGTTGTTTTAAAATTAAAATATCTATTTAAGTGGATATAAGTTGTGATTTTCTAATAGCCCAAGTTTAGAACCTTTTAGTAAGTAAGTTGGCTTCTGAATAATTAATTTTTTTTAAGTTGTCTCCTCTAGATTTTATGTGGAATCGTATGGGGGTCAGCTCGAGCCTTACATGTATAATGTGATCAAATGTTGATCCACATGGAGGCAAGGTCGAGTCATACATATATAAAGTGATCAATTGAGTAAAGTATGAAGTTGAGAGATAAAATCCTTAACTAGTTGTTGGAAAGGTGCGTAGTATTTAGGGATAGTTAGTGGCTAATCACATATGAGGCTTAAATATGCATGCTAAGATTGTGGTAGACTCACACCCAAGTTGTTCCACCATGACAATAGTACTAGACTTTCCTAGTTTAACTAGTGAAACCCGAGAAATTAGTTTAAGTTGTTTATTAGGCACTTTGAGAGGCCTAAGATTGTATTTACCTGATCTGATTTCAATAGGTCAATCATAGTGATTAGTAAGGGACCTAAGGGTCAACTTACCTCTATTGTAAGAGATCTCCAAATGTTGATATGTGTAATGATATATTAGTTGTTTAAAGTTGAGTATGTAGTACTGGAAAGTTGTGTATTGTTGTTAATGTTGTAAGTTGTATATGAAGGTTGAAAGTTGTCCTTGTTGATGTAGTTTATCAACACAAATGAAATTATTCAACGATTATATCATACACTACAACTGAAAGATCAACAATGAACTAGATTCTAGTTTTCCTTACCTTCGAATAGAAGAGAAATGAGGAAAAAGGAAGAAGACGACGACTTTGAACTATCCCTAGAAAGCTCTACACAACCAAATCACGCCTCTGATTCTCAACTAGCAGGCTAAAATCACTACTTAGCTATCTAAACTACTCAAAAAGAAGGAGAAAAGATCACTACAAGAAAAATCAGCATTATCTACGAAAAAATCCGTAGATAAGCATAAAAATCCGTAGGTAATTGTTAATTATCTATAGAAAAAAATTCATAGATCATAAGGTCGTAGATAACGTTACCTACGAAAATTTTCCGTAGGTACGTTATCTACGGATTTTATCTATGGAAATTTCCGTAGATAAGTTATCTACGAAAATTTCCATAGATAAGTTATCTACTGATATTTCCAGAACCAATTACTATGAAAGGCTGTTCTTTTTAAAAGAACAAAAGGAAGGAGGCTAGAAAGACACGGCTTAACCAGAACCAATTATTACAGCTGGAAAACTTTATAACAACATTTTTCTAACTCTGTCCAGTTTTTGAAACATTATTGTGAGCAACAATGTGTTACTGTTACCTTTCCACAGAAAAAAAAACCCAACAATTTCTGCTTACCATATCCAATCTTCTCTAACTTTGAGGCAGCTGTAGTAAAAGCTTTTTGTATGTAATAAAGTGCCCTTCCCTGCAAGATCAACAACACAACTAGTATTAGACAAAACCTTCTCTCATGATAAAAAAAAAATTGACTAAAAGCAAAACTACTAAAAGTATAAACACGAGGCATAAAATTTCTTGATGTAGTGTTGCCTGAAATTCAAAAAGGTAACTCGATACACATTAATACTTCAAATACTCCAGTAAAAACAGAAATCATCAATGATGCAAAGAAAATACTAGAGCCTATTTTGATAAATTTCTCCAAAAGCAATTCTAGGAGAAAAAAGTACGAAGAAAAAATGAAAGAAATTTCTCCACAAGATAAATTTCTCCATCCACCAGCCAAGTATTGATATATTTGATGCCTTCGATGAGGTAAGTACACAGAACCATGTTCTAAGAGCTTGTTTAGATAAATTTCTCTGGAAACACTTAGAACAAAAAATATGAAGAGAAAATGAAATAAATTTCTCCTTAAGTTAAAACTAACTTATGCATGAACTAATTTGTAATTTTTACTATTAGAAGTGCTTCTAAAAAAGTTTATTCAAATAGATCTTAAGTAGTCTTCGCATTGAGGTAAAATTCTCTGTAGGTCTTTTGGGAACTATGTTTCAAAGAATTAAGCATTACATTCTCCACCTTTTCAGCTGTTACTTTTGAAATTGGGAGGAGAGCAGATATATGCTGGTCCATTAGGAAGCCGCTGTTCTCATCTGATTCAGTACTTTGAAGTGAATATCTGGTGTATGAACTTTTTGAATATAAGCTTATAAGCGCTTGTGAGAATTTTTTTACTGAAAATATTTTTTATTCCTAGTGGAGAAGTTATCAAAAACGCTTATATCTTATATCCAAACATACTCAAAATAAGATTGAACACATAACAGAAAATGCTACTGTGGCATTAGCATATTCACTACACTGCATGATTTGATTACTATAGGCTATTCAAGGAGTACCTAAGATCAAGGATGGTTATAATCCTGCAACCTGGATGTTGCAGCAGGAACAGAAGCATCTCTTAAGGTCAACTTCACCAATTTGTACACAAACTCAGAACTCTACAGGTTAGACTCCTAACTCACTAATATTAGTAATAAGCAGTTATTTTTTTTCTTTCCATTTTTCCTTTTGATGTTTCAATCCAAGGCTTCAGATTTCAAAGTTTCAGAATTATGAGAATATAAGATGCACAAAATTTATAAGACATTTTCCGTTATTATACTTCTATATAAAATTTATTTCTTTCTTTAATCCGCGTAGGAGTGTTTCCAAGGCAATTTTTTTTATATTTATATATATTTTTTTAGTATTAAGGAGGGCTAAGCCCAAGAAATTACAAAAGAATATAAAAAGGGCCGTTACATCTGTAAGTAACAGAGAACAACACCCAATTGGTGGATTGTGTATAAAATGAACTCCAACTACGTAGGAGTGAGCCATTAAAGTCAGAAAATCAGCTACCATATTTGCTTCACTCAAGACATGGGCAACACGAATTTGCCAGTCTCTGTCTTTCCTATGTTCTGCCCCATAAATATTTTACAACTCTTTTTCTAAATATTTTTTATGGAATTATTTTAAAACCCTTTTTTTACAGCTAACAAGAACTCAAGTAGTTCCACATAAGGAACTACTTACAAGCCATTTTGAAAAAAGAAACATAGAATGGAACCTCTGTCATCCACCGAAAAAGAGAAAAGAAAGGAAAACACGTACTACATGTTGCTCCAAGCAATGGTAGGCTTCCAATGCGGTATAGAAGATCAATGAAATGAAGTTGAATAAAACACTGTACAAGATTCTTTTCTTTGTTTGATATCTAGCCATGACTCATGACTATTCACCACAACCGTGCCCGTGCCTCACTCTCTCTCTCTCACGCACACATAAATGCACCCTTCTCCCTAATAATTCAACGCTGTGGTCCCCTACCCCTTTATCACCCGGACATAACTTCTCATCAACAAACGAATCATCCAAATCATCCAAATGAGAATAATAATTACAATAGCAGTAGTAATATTTTATTGTTCTTCCTAACAAGGATGTAAAATACACAATTTCTCCTTAATTTTCACTTTTGAATTCATTTTCACCATAATTTCTAATGAAAACTTGTTACAAATTTCTTATTTGCTTGGCAAGACCAAATATTTAAAAAGACATCAGTTTCACATATCATAAATGCGTGCATGCGATGTAAATACACAAGCAAAAAGACAACAGTAACACCATCCATATTAAACATGACAAGGATACGAAAACCAGGAAACAAGTTTGGTCCCATATCAGCGTGCACTTAGTTTTTGGATCCTTATGTGGAATAACCAACCAGCCTTCTCATTCAAAATGGTTCACTTATGCTCTGGTGTGAGTGCTACTTTCTCTTGGTCTAAGACACGGACTAAAGATTCATAGTTCCTTTATTCTTATAAGCCATTGAAATAAATAATAAAATGATATTTTTAAATAAATAAATAAATAAATAAAATAGAAAAAGAACTGTGTAACTCACTCAACTGATAGGAGAAGAGGACGACGATGTTCAGCTCCCACCGCAAACCGCACGGAGAAGAGGACCAAACGGTGGCTGTTCGGAGTCCGCAGTGGAGATTTCGCTTTTTATTTAGGGATTTAGGATTAGGAAAGGAAAGGACCAAACAGTGGCTGTTCTACAACGATTAGGAAAGGATGATTTAGGGGTTTGGAGGCTGCGGAGATTTTGGATTAGGAGTTGTTATATTAGTTTTTATTTGTTAAAAATTTGTTTAATTTCATAATTTTTATTTTAAAAGGTATTAATTAAGTTTTTATTTGTTAAAATGTATTTGATTTGATTTATTTTAAAATTAAAATTACTCTTATTTCTTGAAAATATTTGAAGTTAAAAGGAAAATAAATTTGATTAAATTAATATCATTTTAAAAAATTAAAGACTCAATCAAACCTTTTTAAAATAAATTTAATATTTAAATAAAAAAATTAATTATTGAACCTTTTAAAAATAAGAGAACCAAATTTAACTTAAATCTTTTATAATTAATATAAATAGAAATATAAATTATTAATTGTTATATTAATTTTTATTTTTCAAAAAAAATTAATCTTTAATTTGTTTCTTACTTTTAATAACATTATTTTTATTTTAAAAGGTATCAATTAAGTTTTTATTTATTAAAATGTGTTGAATTTGATTTATTTTAAAATTAAATTTGCTCTTATTTTCTTTTGAAAATATTTGAAGTTAAAAGGAAAAAAAATTGATTAAATTAAACTTATTTTTAAAAATTAAAGAATTAATTCAACCTTCTCAAAATAAATTTAATAATTAAATAAAAAATTAATTATTGAACATTTTAAAATTAGAGAATCAAGTTCAACTTAAAAAATATTAAATAAATAACTTATGTTATATATTGAATTTGAACAATTTAACCATTTAATTAAATGTTTTGAAGTTATAGATTAATTTACAGGATTTTAAAATAAAAATAAAAATCATTTGATACGTTATATAGATTTAAAATTTAAATTTTTTTATGATTATCCATTAATTTGAATTAATGAAACAAAGTATTAAATAGTTTTTAACTTTTAAAATTTTAAATTTATTCAACAATATTTTTAAACTCAAACTCGACCTGATCAAGATTGAAAAATATAATAGATAAGTTCAAATTTGACCCAATTTTATTATATTATATGTTAGTTTTAAATAGAGTAAATATTTTTTAAAATAAACTAATATAGTGTAAAGTTAAATTTGTAAAATAAAGGAAGTGCAAAATCTAATTTAAAGTATATTCTTACTATATATTTTGAAAAATAATTTTATTACCAATTATACAATATCATGTTTTAACTTATTTTATTGAGTAAATTATGTTAACCTCCTCTAAGAGATGAGTGTGTTCCAATTATCTTCACTCTTATGTTAAAATATACAATTTATTACATTTAATTTAATATAATTAATGTAAATCTTATAATGGTTATTTTTTTAATGATGTTAAATTAAATATTCTAATTGTTTTACAATAAACTAAAATGAAAAGATAATAAAATATGTTAACTGATATTTCAAATAAAATACATTAAAATATTATAATTAAAAGAAATCCAGTATTAAATCAAAAGATTTAATATGTTTTATAATAAAAAAATTTCAATATTAAATCAAAATATTATAAAAATTACAACTAAAATCTAGATAATTATTTTGATATTAAATTTATTATATATTAAAATTAATTAAATATTCTATCAAAGAAACTGATACAACCCCAAGCGTGTGGTTCAGCGGTAGGGGTTGATCTACACTTAAACAAAGTCAGGGGTTCGAATCCTGCCTTGTGTATGCAGCCGCGTTAAATCTTGGGGCCAATTATCCCACCCTTTGAGGCGCCTCCAACGTAGCAAGGAGATTAATCACTATACAAATTTTAAATTTTATTTACTATGTTTTATAATCAAAAGAAATCCAATATTAAATCAAAAGATAATAAAAATTATAACTAAAATCATAATAAATTTTCTAATATTAAATTTAGTATATATTAAAATTAATTAAATATTTGTATTTAAGAAATTGTTACAAATTTTAGATATATATTTTAAAGTTTTTATTTTGTTAAATTAATTGAAAGTTAATTATATTTTATCATTTTTTAATGAAGTGAGTGAATGATAATGAATTAACTAAAATTTTAAAATATATTTTAATTAAAAATATTTTTTTTGTCAATGAGGTGACTAAAAGTATTATAATAAATAATTAAATTAAAAAAATAAATCCTAATGGTTATTTTTTTAATGATGCTAAATTAAATATTCTAATTATTTTACAATAAATTAAAATGAAAGGATAATAAAATATGTTAAGTGATATTTCAAATAAAATGTTTTATCTACGGAATTTATCTACGGTGAGGTTATTTATGGAAATAGCTGTAGATAACTAAACATTATCTACGGAAAAAATTCCGTAGATAATATTTCGTAGATAAGTAAACATTATCTATGAAAAAAATTTCGTAGGTAATATTCCGTAAATAACTAAACATATTTACAGAAAAAATTTCGTAAGTAATATTCCTGTAACGAGCCGCCTGGCCGTCACACTGCAGAACAACACCACACAGAAGTAAAATATGCATATAAAGGAATGTATACATATATCTAGCCTAAGGCTCAACAAGTCAAAGTATATCTAATACTAACAAAATGTTATGCCAAGGTAGCCTACACAAAATCAGCTCCAGCCCTCCTCGGTGGCACTGCTACTACACTCCAGCCTATCCCTGCTCTGCTCCCATACACAGTATGATCATCGTAGTCCAAACCACATGGAAAACATGTAAGGGTAAGCTAGTGAAAATAATCAACATATAGATATCCATAAACAGCCTTCAACTTAACAACACCATCATCATTCTCAACAAGTTCAACATACAACACATAACAACACACAACTCAATCACAGCTTCACATTACAACAGCACATATACAACTCATATCAACATCAATTAAACACATCAACAGCTTATGCGTCATCACGCATTTCAACTCGGAGATCTCCTACAACATGGGTGAGCAGTTTAAGTAGCTAGGTCCTACCAAACCGACAACAAAGAACTTTTTTGGGCTTGTTAAGTAAACAACAAATTTGGATATCAATCCACAACACGATAACGATTTCTCAGACTTTGCCACTTCAACAATGAGGTATAGTACTATGTCATGATAGAACAGCTGGGTTTAGGCTTACCACGGCATTAGCTAGCTCAACTAAGCCATCTATGGGATTAGCCTACCGACTATCCTTCAAATACTACAACCCTCCGATACTCGATTAGGAACTAAGTTCCCGACTTCGTACTTTACTCAAACTGGCCGCTTGTAATTGGTATAGCTCGACCTGACCCCTATACCGTGGTCGCTTTGTACACGTGTGCTTCGACCTTGCCCACACACGGGACCAACTAAGTCCTAGAGGAGAACAACACAACGTCCACTCCAAGGGACAACTTCCCAAGGAGGGTTTTCAACAAATTGGGCTCTCTGAGCACCACAGCTTTCTCAATCCACACAATGAGATGAACAACTTTGAAAACATCACCCATAGTCCTAGTGATCAACAATTCATCATCACAACTTAATCAGCTTACAACTCAACAGTACAGCTCAGTTCAACAACTTAAACAGCATGATCAACTCAACAGCTTAACGACTCAACTCATAATCTACAACTCAATCATTATAAAATAATATATTTCAACACATAGTGCAACATACAAATTTCATCACACAGCTACATCTTCTCATCATATCACAAAATTCAACATTTTTTGAGTCATAGAATCAAACACATTCACGCTCGGCACGAGTAAACTCACGCCTGGCCTGAACCCAACCCGAGAGCTCTAAAGCTCTTCCACGCCCAGCGTATCATCATCACGCCCGGCGTGTTGGGAGGCAGAGACTTCCAGGAGTCTCCCAAGCCTAGCGTGCCAAAATTGTGCTCGGCACAACTCAGGCAAAGACCTCACCATGGTGTCACGCTCGGCACACTCGTTCTGCGCTTGGCGCACCCCAAGCAGAGACCCCGAAGGAGTCTCTACACCCGACGAGATCAAATCACGCTCGACACTATATCAGTAACTCAAAATTTTCAGCCACTAGCTGATATCATGCCCAGCGCGGTTCTCCCCACGCCTGGCGTGATTCATCCAAAGACTTTCATTCCCAACCTCGCCCGGCACAACCAACCTCGCGCCTGGCGTGCTTGGAAAATGGAGTTTCCTAAAGAACACACGTCCGACGCCAAGAACTATGTCCGGTGCGAATTCAAACAGTAACCCTCACAACTTCGAAATTTCAAACAACAACCTGCAAATCAATCAGCTCAAACACATGAAATTTATGAAATGAACTACATTTACATCATACAACTCAAAAACAAGCTCTATTTCAACATGCAACCATCAAACGTATCAAAATCACCATTTTCCCAAATTTCCCGAAACCTCGAAAATGAGAATTTCTTCAAAATCAACCAATGATTCCCAACGTTCTTACTCCCAATGAGTTCTAGAATTCCTATACAGCAAACAAGTTTACTGTGACACCCTTACTACCCCAACACATATACCGTAACTTTACAAATAAATGTTTAAAAAAAAGTAAAAGGGTTCACATGAGAAACTTCAAAAATCGTGCTTCAATAACCACAATAATAAAGAAATAAAACGCAAGAGTTTACAAATTGTTTTCAAAAATAACATTTGCAATTCCAAATCCATATAAAAAAACATATGTTCTAAAAATCTTATGCCCCGATGTCACAATATCAGAGCATCCCCACAATT